GTGTGTGTGTGTGTGTGGCGCGCGCCGGGAAGCCTGGGGATCGCGTATGCCAACCAAGGGATCCTTCGGCTGGCTCTCTCCACCCACCCACCCCGGACTCAAGGGCGCTGCTATGGCAGCGGTGGAAGCCGGGGAGCCACATAACCTCCGCCGACCGAGAGAGAAAGAAAACTCCTTTTTCAAGGTTTCGCGGTACGGGGAGAAGCAAAACTCCGGCGGTTTGCCCTGATTTTTCCCACTCATCCTTTGGAGAGAACAAGAGAGACAGAGAGAAGCGAGAGCGCAAAAACCCTTCTTCCCCCGCCACAAAAAAAATACCTCCAGTCTCTCCCCCCCAACGCCCAATCCAGTTTTTGCAGAGGCTCGGGCCAGCCTTGAGCTTCCTTGGCATCACCATGCCCAACTCCCCGCCGCTGGTGCTTTTTCTTTTTTTGACCCCGGCACAAACGGCGATGCCCAAGGAGCCGTCCGGCTTATTTCAAAGAGCTCCCCGACTGCGGAGAGCAGCTTTCCCACGGAAGCGCAAAAGAAGCCGCGAAGTCTACGTACAAGGCAAAGCTTTTAAAAAGCGAAGCGAGCCTCGCGCTTTTGTCGCCTCTCGCGCCTTACCGATGTGGATGATGGAATCCGCCCGCGCCGCTTCCCAGGTTCGAGTCCAACACACGGACAGGAGCAAAGCCAAGACCAAAACTTCCATCTCCTGCGCTTTCGGGAAGACCCAAGTAGAGGAGAGCAAGAAGGGAGAGGGTTAGCCAAAAACCCAGCGCCGAGGGCGAGAATTAAAAAAAAAAAAAAGGAGCCAAAGCCACAAGGTTGGAGAAGAGGGTGAGGGGGAGAGAGAGACAGTGTGAGTGAGTTGGGGGAGTTTGAAGCGAAAAGCCTCCGGAAGAGCCTTCCAGATGGGGGGGCGAAGAGGAAAGACCCCGTCCAGCTTGCCGGGGAAGCCTCTGGCTCGGCTCCTGGCGGCGTCACTTCGGGGGGCGGCCGGGCATCACCAGAGTTGCGGGGAGTTGCTGCAGCAAATCCATTCAGCGTCCCTCGCCGGAGATGTCGGGCCAGCAGCTTGGCGCGCCTCGGTCTTCTTCATCGCGGCATCCTCATCATCCAGCCTTGCTCGTTTTCGCCGTAAAAAAAACAAAAAAGGCTTGGTTTGGGGAGTGGGGGGGGGGGCGGGGGGAAGCAGGCATGGAGAACCGGGAATCGTTTTTTTTTTCCTTTTGGCGGCCAGCCGCACCGCCCGCTCCTGCCGACCAATCCGGCGGAACAACTTGCAAGCCGTCAACCGACCAACCATGCCAGTCGTTGCCCCCACCCCCACCCCGCCCCGGCCACCCTGTCCCCCCACCTCACAAGAGAGGAGGGGGGAGGGAAAAGGGATGGATTTGTTGTTGTTGTTGTTGTTGTTGTTGTTGTTGTTGTTGTTGTTGTTTTTCCCCTCCCGAAGCAAGAAGTAGCTTTCCTTTCAAATCTCCAGGCAACTGGCCGGATCCCTGCAAAGTGTGTGCAGAAAGAGAGAGCACGCTGCGTTCCGACCCCTTTCCTCCCCCCCTCCCCCCCGCGGGGGTGGGAGAAAAAAAACAAAAACACACCCTCAAATCCTAAAAGTGAACTTCAAAGCAATGCAGTTAAGAATGCAGAACTTTCTCCCCCTTGCAAAAAAAAAAAAAAAAAAAAAGGAATATATAGGCGGTTTTTTTTTTTTTTTTTAAGAAAAAAGCTGTAATCCCCTGGCTTTCCTCCTCCCTCTTCTTCGATGGGGAGGGGAGGGAGGCTGCGAAAAGGAGCCTCCAACGTGGCCGAGCGAGGTAGCAGGTCCACGGAGACGTGGCTGTGGAGCAAGCGGGCAAACCACCCCCAGCAGAAGCAGCAGCAGCAGCAGCAGCAGCAGCAGCGACCGAAGGCTGGCGGTGGGGGCTTTTCTGCAGTAGAAGCTCCAGCGGCGGCGGCGGCAGCCTCCAAATAAGGAGGCGTTTTTCGGGGGGGAGGTGGTTGGTCGGGTGGGATGTACGGAGTTCCTCTCCGCTGCCAGCGAGCAACGCCGCCAACGCCGCTAGCCAGCACGTTGCTTAGAAATGGATCACCTAGGAGAGAGGAGGGGCGAACAAGAGAGAGGTGCTGAGAGAGAGGGAGGGAGGGAGAGATGCTGAGGGGAGGGAGGGAGAGAGAGAAA